TTATAAATTTTTTTTTATGATTATTGTGATAATGTTAATTGTAATATATTTATTTCATTATTTGTTACATATTCTTTATTGTCTTTACAAATATACATATATATATATATATATAAGAAAATAATAAGATGTGTATAGCCGAATTTTTTATTCTGAATTTTTAGAGTATATAACATATTATACACGTACATATTTGTATTCGTATTTTTACGTCTCCGTATTTTTTTGTCGAATTTTTTAAACATATTTTAATAAAAATATCGAATTATACTCGTACGTTTTCGTACCCATATTTTTTCGATATCTTATTTTACTAAGTTCTTGTACACCATAAACTCTTTAAGTCATTGTGTTTCACATAATTTGAGATAACTTCATCATCACATAAAAATCTTAATATGACGTGTCACATGAATTTATTGTCATACAACAAAATACCATTAACATATAAGACAATGATGAGTTAACTCCCATACCCACGACATACTTTTTACATTGACAACTACTGATCACTTTATCTAACTTCAAATACCACTATCGTAAAACTTATATAAAGTAGCCATTACTGAGCAATGATGCAATAATGACCCTCGAAGAGAAATTGTGCATAAGACACTCCACTATTTAGTATGAACATATAATTGATTTTGACCAATCTGTTTTTAATTAAAAGTCCCAAAAATCCTTTTTTGTTTTTCTAGGGAGGGTTTATTTTTTATTTTTTAACTATTTGTCATAAAAATGTTCCAAGTATTTCATTAACTTTAAAAAATGTCCTTATTTACTCAATTTGGAAAATGCAAAGGTTTCATTAACATCAATGGTCACACATTTTGTATATAATAGTTTTGAAGTATATTTTGTGAATAGTAGTCCCTAATTTATCACATTTTGCTGCAAAATGCCCCAAAGACTATATTATTTTAATATTTTCCATTAAATGACCAAAATACATTTTCTTATTGAATTGCAATTAATAAATTAAGAAAAAAAATTCATACTAAATTGATGACATATTCTCAATTAAATTTACATAAATTAACCTTAATTATATAAATTAATTATATTTAAATAAAACCTTAAGTAGAAAATTTAAAACAATTTAAGTAATTTCTTAATTTTCATGAATATATTGCATGAAAAAGGTATTTTCTATTTAAGTAATTTACTAATTTTTTATGAGTATAATGAAAATTAGATATTTTTTTACTTTAAAAAATGGTTATAATAAGTTTTATTATAAAGATCAAAGTTTTAATAATAAGCTCCTCATTTTAAAAAATCATTTTTTATGATAAGTTAATACTAATAATAAAATTGAGGTAAATATTATCATTAACACTTGATAATAGAAAAGATAATAAATTTTTTTTTTTTTTAAATGACAAATATAATAAGAAGTGAAAAAATAGTCTTTCGTTTTGTCCTTAATTGCTATAAGTCAATAGTTCATGGGTGTTATTTGCAAAAGAGCAATAATTCAAAGGAGGAATTTTGCACTTTAACCAAATTTAAATTAAAAAGTGAAGGTGCAAATGTATTTGCATTGTTTTTCTGGGGCAATTTTGGTATTTCACCTTATAGGACTTCGTTCCTTTAGAGAGAAGGAAGCCTACCCAATCATACAGAGTTCTATCCCCTTGTTGATAGATTACCTATCTTTGCCCCAATCATCGTTTCTCCTCCCGAAATCAGGTCATACTACACAAAAATTCGGATAATCCTAAGTCTGTTCCTCCGGTGGGAATTCCTAAATGAATCTTGTTGTTGAACCATGGACCTATCACAAGCAAGAAAAGAGATTCAACAAGCATGTGTGGTGAAACATCTAGCTATCGTTCCTTATGAGGCAGGATCAAACTCCCATTTTCAGTATGATTGGTCCCATCCGTGGTATAACCTGGTGAAAGAAGGCTAACATTAATAGAATCAATATTAACCGAAGGGGAAGTGTAAACTGTTATAACATGCCAACCTTCAAGAGATGGCATTATAATAAATGAAAACATAGGAAAATACAGCGTAAACCTTCAAAATGAAAGGGTAATTTACACAAACCTTTCTTATGGTTTGTCATAATTACAGGGGTTTCCCCTCTGATTTGAGAATTTACCTAAACCTCTCTTAAGAATGAAAATATCTTATACGAATCTCTCTTCTGTTAGAGTCAACGTCAGTCAATGACGAAAATTGTTGACGTCATGTACAAATTTTACTAAAATTTCCATAATAGCCTTGTCCCTATGTAATTACATATTTAAGGTAAAAGATATATATATATATATACACACACACACACACAAAACCCAATTTGACGGTGAAGACACGGTGGCGACGAGCTCCGGCGAAGGCAATGATAGAATCGACGAGCAAGCTTCTGATCGACGATCAAATACCAGAAACTTTCAGATCCCGACAGTAAGACCGGTGTCGGTACCTCATGGAGTTCCCAGTCTCCTGTTTTCTTCCAGAAAGCCCCAAATGAGGGCATAGATGAAGGTTCTATCAGCCTCCTCGTAACTGGGCCATGGCCTCTTACGCAAATCACTACACAATTTTTTCCATTTCTTGCCTCGTTATAGGGGAGGAATCCAGCCACAAAGCATCTACGATTTGTCCTTCTTGTTTTGTTTTGTTTTATATTAATTTTCTTAAATTAATTTAAGAATTGATCTGATATATATTTTTTACCTAATTGATCTGATAAATGTCCCATAAAGACTTCATTTTTGGATCCGACTTCATTTTTGGATCCAAATCTTGTTCACAGGTCTCAGAATCAAAGAAACCAAGCTGTCCATTTCTTCCATTCAAAAAACCCACCTCTCATTTTGCTGAATCTTGCTTCAAAATTTCCAACCATGGTTGCTGTTACAGGTTTGGGACCTTGACAAGCCCCGTGACAGCCATGGGATTCTGTCAGTGTGCACTGGGGGTGCCCAATGGCATTTTCGTAAATATGGCGAAAAAGTGAAGCTTGGAGTTTTGACTCGGGATCTTTATAGGAGGTACCTTGAGTCCATAGAAGATGGTTGGCGCAGACGACACTCAATTTGGATGTCGGGAAGGGTTTGAAAGACCATTATGACTCCTCAAGCATAGGTGATGTCTACTCTTGTCAGAGTGCTGATTTTCCTTAGAACTATACTAGGGAGGAGTCTGTTGAGGACATCAGTTAGGCTATGGCATGGCTTGCTTAGAGGGCTTAGCCAACGTACATTGGCACGTGTTGCATCACTCCAAGATGGTTGCACAAGAGGAGAGCATCCGAACTACCAAATGGTAAACAAGTGAGCAGTGGCGCGCGCGGGCGTCCAGGCGGGCGCACGGGCAGGGGTTCAGCCCGGTGTGCGCGCTGGCGAGCAGTAGCGTGCACACAGGCGTTCAGGCATAGCACGCGTAGATGAGCACCAGCGTGCACGCCGGCGTGCAGCAGCTCGCTTATGGGCGTGCACTGGGACGTGCACATGGGCGTGCATGGCTTCGCACGCCATGCAATCTGAGACATTTATATGTGGGTGCAGATTAGTAGGCTTGGCACAGGCTAGGTTCACAAAGTTGGCTCAGTTGGTTGGGGGAAGTTACTAGCACTTTCCACTCATTTTGGGGAGTGGAGGTGTGCTAAGTAACTTCCCATGCATGTGGCACAGGCGGTTGGAGTCGGTTTTCCTCCACTATACTGATGGTTACAGAAGAAGGCTAAGTGGGCTCAGTTGGTTGGGGGAAGTTACTAGCACTTTCCACTCATTTTTGGGAGTAGGGGTGTGCTTAGTAACTTCCCATGCATGTGGCACAGACGGTTGGAGTCGGTTTTTCTCCACTATGCTGATGGTTACAGAATATAACTAAGTGGGCTCAATTGGTTGGGGGAAATTACTAACACTTCCCCCTCGTGTGCATATATTATGGGGAGTGGGGGTGTGCTGAGTAACTTCCCATGTGGCATGAGCAAAGCGTGCCAACAAGTTAGCAATTGGGCTTGTCAACTGCATATGTAGTGCTGACACACTTAGAGGGTGCCAGCAAGACCCTAGGTGGATGGGGTTATCATCCACTACTTTAGTGTGCAGTTGTGGGCGGTTTTGAAAATTTGCCTATATATTGCTAATGTGGGTTCTGTAGAAAGGGGAGAATGAAAGTGAGACACAAAGTTGTGTTGTGAGAAACTCTTGTATGTTTCTACAGGTTGAGGCATTTCCTTGTACTGCTTTGTCAATAATAGTAAAAATGTTGGAAGCCTTATGCTTTTGTAATTTCGTAGGTGTTATTGTCCTTACATTCTTGCAACTATACTTGTGTGTGAGAGTGTTTACTTGCTGAGTGTTTACTTGCTGAGTGTTTACTTGCTGTGTGTTCTAGGCAGCAAGTGTGAGTTGACTGAGCTAAGTTAGAAATTCAGAGAAAAGTTGTTCATAGTTCTGGCTTAGTGCCATCACAGGCCACTAAATTCATATTCAGAATTTACCCATGTGACAGTTGCTTACTTGGATTTTCCTCAAAACCCACTTCTCAAATCTCCCATTCAATCAGAGAATTCACTAAAATAAATGAACACCCAATTGGGTTTTCTCCAAAACCCACATCTCAAATCATCAATGCAGCATATGATACCCCATAAGAAGCCGACCTAGATGGAGAAAGTGAGGTTTCAAAGCCAAACAAAACCTTAAAAAAATTACTTTAACTTTTTTCTGTTTTTTTGTCTCTCTCTCTCTCTTTATATACACACAGAGAGAGAGAATTAACAACATTTCAATAAATTAGCTAGGACAGTTAGTGTATCTAACGGTCCGTCAGACATAAGTGAAACCTGTGTAAGATATTTTTATTCTTAAGAGAGGTTCGAGTAAATTCCCAAACTAGAGGGGAGGTCCGAGTAAATTCCCAAACCAGAGAGGAGATCCATGTAATTATGGTAAACCATAGGGAAGGTTTGTGTAAATTACCCTAAATAAAATCATGGGAAAATACAGTGTAATATAGAATACCACTAGTAAGATCAATGCATTTATATCTATAAAAATTAATAATAAAATGTTCATGTAAATGTCAAAATGAATCTCAAGGGCCTTTAAATAAAGGAACCGAATAACTATTGCATCAGCTCTCGAATAACTCAGAAAATCTATTTGACGCTATCAATCTTCTAATAACTTCACACAAATGATAGACTCACTGAAGCCACTGCCAGCAATATAACAGAAAATTTAGTCCCAATAAATTATAGCTAGGTCGAGCAAGTTAAAACCCAGCCCAAGTTAGTCAAAAACGTTGAGCTCAATACAAATAAGTAAAGGAACAACCTATCAACTCCCAAATGTCAAACTTCAATCTTTGATGCCGAAAGTATCTTCCTTCTTGGACCCTGGAACAGTCACAGTGAACATAAAATGAGCAAGAGACTAAATTTTTGGAGGGCAGGAATCAAATCTCTTATTGATATTAACAAAAAAGAAAAATGACACATTTGAATATCGAAATTACCAAGTTACCCATTCTAATAAATTTGAAATGTCCAAAATAACCTCTCCCACATCTCTCTATATACAAATATTGTCAATATATACATAACCTGATATATATATATGTGTGTGTGTGTGTGTTCCATAGATCTAACGTATTAGTAGGGTCGCTGGAGCCCTGGGTTGAAATTGCCTGCATATATACACAAATACACGTTCCATGGTTCTCCAACGTACCAATGGGGTGGGATGGTCGCTGGAGCTCTACGCTGAAATCGACGAAGCCCTAGGTCTACTGGAGAAAGACGAAACAACATTTATGGAAAATTGCCCAAATCGTGCCAAGCTTTTGTCAATAACACACCAAAACAGAATTTCTTTGATCAGCAATATGTGTATGTATATATACCTCACTTTACGATCTGGGTCTCTACCAGTATGTATGTAACTTCTATTCACACACACACACACACACACACACACACACACACACACACACACATATATATATATATATATCGACGCACATATACCGAAATGTGGCCAGAACAAAATGTGTTTTGCCACCACCGCTCGAAACGACATCGTCGCCAGCTAACAATCCTCCGACTTCTCTAATCCTTTTACTTCCCGGAGTAGATTCAAGCGAGGTTTCAGATCGCGCAAAGGAATCAAATCAATCTATGAATCCGATTCAGTTAATTCTGGTAATGCCACCACCACCTCCGCCGCAATCTCCGACCACGGTCTGATGATGAAAATGGATCCGAATTGATCTGTGGGTTGCTCCTCTGTTTGTTTTCGTCGAATTTGGGTTGGCGAACCTTTCCCAGTGAGAGTTATGGTGGTTTTACAAAAATAGGATCCATGGCGATAGTGGGTGATGGTTGTAGGGTGGTAGTTGTGTGCTGGAGGTAGGTGGTGGTGAATGGAGAAAGGGGAAAAGAAGGGGTGGGCGGTGGTGAATGTGGGTGGTGGTGACGATTCTGGCGATGGTGGGGAAGGTTCTCTTTTCTAGTGGGGAAGGTTGTCTTGCTTGTGGGTGATAAAGGGGATGGTGGTGGTGGCGATTGTGGGTGAGCCGAACTTAATACAGAAGATAAAGAGAAATTAAACACTAGTTCAGTGGTCGAATGGGTTAGGTGAGATTGGTAGAAGGGCAAAAGTTTAATTTTAAAATTCTAATATTTTACAATTAAAATTAGTTAAATATTGATTGGCAATTTTGTCTTTTCAAACCTTTTAAGGGTCAGTTTGGATCAAACTTTTGTCAGGGGGTGTCATTGTCCAAAAAAACGTCCAACTTGTATATAGGTGTCATTATGGCAAACCTAGCGGGGTGTCGTTGTAATTAACCCTCTTATCTATTTTTGATCCTTCAAAAGTAGAGGCCAATCACGTACGGCTCATGCGTTCAAGCCGAAGGAGAGTACTTAAGGTTAAGTGGTGGATTCTGTTTGCTTCGTTATCTCCGAGCCTTATGTAACTCTATGCTCGGGCATTGAGTATCGGCATATCCGAAGGAGAGTACTTAATCAATGATGTATGAAACCTAGTACCTTGGGTCATCACGATTGTAAAAGCTTCCACGGCTGTAGGCTGGTGGCAATCGAGGATCCCTACGGCCTCTATATCGAACCGGGTGTTGAAGGCTTACAATTCTTCTGCTTTCATCTGTCGTAAGGCAAAAAGACTAGATATAATCTTCTTTTGTTTTTTGTTACTGCAACGTTGAGCCAAAAACACAACGCAGAGTTCCTCGAAGCTTGAGATTGACTTGTGGGGTCTATTTTTAAACCACTTTAAGGCGACTCCTGCCAAACTTGTTGGGAATGCTTTGCACATGAGGAGGTGGTTGTGGGTGTGCATGGCCATCTTTTGATTATATTGAGCAAGGTGGTGAGTCGGATCTCCAGTTCCATTTAACGGAGTGAAGGTAGGCTATTTGAACTTCTATGGGACATCCATCAACTCAATGTCGTCAGTGAATGAGGTCTTGAATATTGAAGTTATGAATTCTCTTGCCATCTCCTCCGGCGTATTATACTTCTGGACTTCCTTCAAAGGTGACTGCGTAGCATTTCTTTGCTCAAGGTTTAAGAATTCTTTGTCGTCAAGCCAGACATCTCATAACTTGGTGTAGAGTGGAGGGGGCTCCATTCATTCTGTAAATCTAACCTCGTCCCACGATCAAATTATAGGACCGGTGGATGTCTAATAACATGAAGTTCTCTTTCAGAGTTCTCTTCGTCGCGTTCACGGACACGTCCATGACTCCGATTGGGTCCACCTTAGTTTCATCAAACCCTATTAACGGATTCGAGGTGGGCCTTACTTGTGCTGCATCAACCTCGAGTTGTTCGAAAGTTCGTTTGGTAATGATATTAGCACTGCTTCCGAGATCTATGAGCACCTTTTTGATTAGGCAATTTGCCACCAACACACTGATGACCAATGGATCTTCAAGTGGGATTTGTACTTTTGCCAATTCTTCGTCTCTGAATCCAATTCTCATGGCTCTGGAACTGACGGTGTTGACTACATTTAACTTTCTCAACTTATGAACTTGCCTAAGCCCTGATTTTGTATGTCTCCTCCGTTTCTACCTCTTCCTTGCGTTTTCCGTGTATATCATGAATTACTCATACGGGATTTGCTTGACAGTTATTTTCTTACAACCTGCGCCTATATCCCTCGGCCTAGTTTGCTATTTGGGTTGGACGTATTTGAATAGGTCTCCTTTTGAGATAAGGGATTCCACTTGTCGTCTAAGATTCCTACAATTGTCAGTTGCATGGCCATTATCTCTATGAAAAGCACAATGCCTACTTTTGTCCCTCTGCTCGAACGGTTGCCTGATTGGTGGAAGAACGAGAAATTTTGACTTGTTCTCTTGGAAGAGCCCGGCCAAACTTGTCCTTATGGGAGTAATCCTTTCCTCAGTCTGCTGCCTCTTCTCTGCGACCGTGAAGACAAAAGCCGAAAGAGCCCTCAAACTCTTGGTCCCAGAATTTTTCTCTTTTGACTTTCCCTCTACCGAAAACAAGGTTGAATGGTGACTTTTGTTTACTTCGTTCTCTTCAAGCCTTATGTAACTCTGTGTTCAGGTATTGAGTGTAGGCATATCCAAAGGAAAGTACTTAACCAAGGATGTATGGAACTTGGTACCTTGGGTCATCGCAATTTTAAAAGCTTCCACAACTGTCAGCTGGTAGCAATCGAGGATCCCTGCAGCCTCAATATTGAACCGAGTGTCGAAGGCTTGCAATCTTTCTCCTTTCATCTGTCGTAAGGCAAAAAGACTAGATATAGTTTTCTACCACAATATTAAGCCAAGAACACAACGCAGAGTTCTTCAAAGCATGATATTGACTTGTGGGGTATATTTTTAGACCACTCTTAGGTGACTCTTGCTAAACTTGTTGGGAAGGCTTTGCACATGAGGTGGTTGTTATGGGTGTGCATGGCCATTTTTTGAGCATAATGAGCAAGGTGGTGAGTCGGGTCTCCTGTTCCATCAAACGGAGTGAAAGTAGGAAATCTGAACTTCTCCGAGACATACACCAAGTCAATGTTGTCGGTGAATGGGGCCTTGATTATTGAAGTTGTGAATTCTCTTGTCATCTTATTCGGGGTCTGAACCTTGAATCCTTTGAACAATTCACCAGCACCCCGAGAAGTATGGTGTTTTAGGGGTCAAATTCGTACAGATTCCTCTTGTTGGACGTCTTTTGACATCTTTCTTTTTTCTTTTTCTTTTTTTCTTTCTTCACATCTTGGGAAGAAATGAGAGCTTTTGAGAGAGTTGCTCGTTCGTTCCTCGAGGTAGTGAGACTACCTGTCTCGACATCAACAGTGAGATTAAAAAGTATGATAAAAACAAGGGGCATGTTTTTAGGGTTGACAACCACAATACAACGATTCAAAAAGCTATGCCGAAATCTTGCTTGGTTGGTCGTTTCGACACAGACATGGGGTGTCTTCGGAGTGGGCTTCGAAGATTTGGAAGATTTCGAGTGGGGTGAGAGTCTTCACCTTGCTTGACGACCTTCTCTTGTTCAGATTGTCGTCGGAGGTTAAAGCATAAAGGGTGCTAAATTACAAAAAGAAGACATGGGAGTAACAAAGCTTTTCATATATGTGTGGTGCTTTAAAGTCGGTTGTTCGAGGTTAAGGAAGAGGAGCAAGAAACGAAGTCGTGTTTTTTAGGCTTCCTCTACATCTCTGGTGCCAGAAACTCTTCGAAGCCATAGGTGATTTGTGTGGTGGCTTTAACGACGTGGAAGCGTATGAAATGTCTGAACAGAAATAGTTACTCTCATTGTTGTCGACAGTGGGACCCTAGAGTTTCTCACCATTGAAGATCAACAAGTGGCCTTTAAGGTTGCTTTGATGGAAGAAACAACACCGTCTCCTATGCCTAAGTCGGATTCTTCAATCGGTTAAGACGAAAAAGATCTTTTCTCAGAGGAGTCGAAAAGAGGAAGAGATAGAGTGGCAACCTATGTGGGTGTGTGCGACACAGTGGGCAACCTACAGGTTGCATAATCCCACACCGCATCGGTAGGTTGAAGGTGAAGTGCTTATATGTGAGAGCTCTATCTCCAACTGATATAAGGCCTTTTAGGGTAAAACTCAAAAACAAAACCGTATGAGCTCAGACCTAAAGTGGACAATAGCATACCATATGATGAAGTGGGTTATTACAAATGGTATCAGAGCTGGAGCCTAGCTAGTAGTGTGGCTATCGAGGACGTTGGACCCCTGAGGGGAGTGATTATGGCGACCTATGTGGGCGGATGTGTTGTGGGTGGGTGCGAAATACTGATCGAACTACCACACTGGGAGAGTTAGAGGTTGCACAATCCCACATCGCCTTTGGTAAGATGATGGTGAAGTGCTTATATGTGCAAGAACAAAACCGTGCGAGCTCAAAATCAAAGCAGACAATATTATACCATGTGGTGGAGTGGGCTGTTACACATCGGCGACAAGGAAACTGATCGAAAGTGTAGAAAATGGTTAGATCTATGCACATCTATGCACGAAAGGAGTAAAGAATGGAATCATCCCTGGGAGACATGAGCCAAGAGACAGGAAGCTTCCCATTCCGGATAGTTGGTGAGGAGTCACGTGGTAGAGTACGTATTCGGATTTTGAATTCTAAAGTTGTGGAATGTGGGTCATTACCAAGTGGGTCTGTTCTGAATGGCCTAAAGTTTTTGCTCATTTCCCAATTGGGCTGGCTCATGGGAGCTTCTTTTAATAGCCCAACCACTGATGCTAGGAATAGAGAGGTTTGTTGGGGCCAAAAAGTTGTCTGAGCGTCTCATCATCTGGCCTGCAATTAGAAAAAGTGTTAGAAGGCCCAACTTCTCGAGTTCGAAATAGAGTGATCTTTAAGGGGCCAAGCAATTGCTTGATGGTCTTTTTTAATGGAGATAATGCCTGCCCAAAAAGACAGAACACGTTAACGTTATTTGGCCTAAGTTCTCACCAAGCCCATAACTGTTGCCCTACACAATAGAAAAGAAGGTGTTCTTCGGTGATCAAAGAAGAGCTTCCTCACAGTAGACAATGGACTCGAAAGCATCAATAAAATTTGGTTAAGCTAAGCAGGAGACTTTCAAAGCACAATTCTAGGATGAGCAAAGGAGTTCAATCCAGTTCTAAGGATTATGTGAAAGGGATCAACTCCATCGATTCTATCGACCTTGTTCTCCTAGGCCCAAACAGAGAGCTTGTGACGGAGCCTCTTCGGCATTGTAAAGGGCGGCTTCAAAGCAACGGTTTTGGGCCTTTCCATTTTGATTCAAGCAATTGGGGTCTCGGGTGATTGTTCTCCTCTTTCAATGGTGCATTCATAGAAACAATAGAATGCACACAATCGCTAAAGAAGGTGATGGTCTTGCAACAATAATGAGCACGATCCTGGTATGTACCTTTCTTCAAAATCTTGGAGCTCTCTTTCTGCTCCTCCTCCTACTCCTCCTCCTGGGGAGTTGAGGAGTGTTGTGGGGCTGGAGACTGATGGGTTGTTGTTGCTTTCTCGGAGACGTTCGACTGTTTTTTAGGAGAAAACTGAGGTTTGTTCAGCAAAGAAGAATAATCCTCAAGGGGGCACTGGGATGTTTGCAAATGGTGCAGAGTATTTGGTTAACACTGGAGAGGGGTTAGAGGGAGTCACAGTTCACGTGGTTCGTCATTTTCGATTCAAACTAAGCGATGATTATGCTATTTTATGGTCGATTGGATAACGGGTGAATACAACAAAAAAACAAGGAAAAAAATTACAAATCAGTATCAAACAATTAAGTTATCAGAAATCTGTTCCGGCAAATCAAATATATGTTAGGTTTAAAGATTCCCTAGTTAATATCAAACCAATTTAAAAGAATACCACATAATCACACAATCAAAATTAGTAATGAGTCTAATGACCAGGGGAAATTACCCTCAGACTCCGTGAGGTTTATTAAAATTACCCATGCCATCACTTTTAATAATTATATCTGCTTACCTCACTGAAGATGTAAGCAAAGAAAATTACTAAAAATGAAATATAAATCTAATATACACATACTACGTATTACAATATATTTATATACACACACATATAAGGGTATATATATATATCAGTGTCGGCTGCCACAACCACTGCCACCCACTACCACACCTGTCTCTCTCTACCACCCATTGCCACCACTACCCATTACATCTCTCTCTCCCCAATCTAATCCATTAGGGTTCACTCCACTATAGACATCCTCTCTTCTTTCTCAAGTTTACTTTGAAAACCCTAAAGCATTTTTAGTGATTTTGTTTACTTGCTCCAAATTCAAAGCCCTAGGGTTTTAAATGAAACACAACTATCATAGGAACGGACAACTATTTGCCACCACTACCGCCTCTATAATCTCTTCTTTCTTTTCACCTTGGTCTCTCATTTTCTCTCTCTATCAATGTAACTTCCTAAAATAATCCCGAATCAATTTTTAAGAAGATATTTACTTAAAAACAAATGCAAAACTGTGAGACAAAATGCTGACATGGAAAAATACTCGCTTTCCAATTTCCAAAATCCAAACCACTGTTAGAGGAATAGTCATCTTGGCACTACTGCTACAGGAAAAGGGTTAAATTGGATGGTTTAATGAGTTATCTTCAATGGTGGTATCAAATAACATTTTGAAACGTGGTGGCGCTCCCCTCCTTTCTACAGTAAATTGACGGTGCAGGAGGTGGCCCCGGTAGCCCTCAACCCCTGCTTTCAACGCTCTCGTCTTATTCCCACGTGAAGGGTAAACTGGAATGGGAGAGAGGGGCTGTAGTAGGGGGAGCAATGGCGGAAGCAGTGGAGAGAAGCGTGTGTGTTTACATATATGTATATGTTTGTGTGATTTGGTTAAAATGGTCATTTTATAAACTTAATACAATCATTTACATCATTTTGCTTAATATTCGGGTACTTTTGGAATATAAATTTTCTCTGTTGACTGACCTAACAGTTGATTGACAGCAGAGGTGGTCATGGCGAATTTTCAATGAATTTTAACCACAAATTTTCACGTTTAAATTGAAGGTAATTTGAAAACACCCCAGGGATGGTGCTTTACAATAAATTCTATATTTGCAAGTATCAATCAGCCAAGCAATAAAGTTTCCAAAGGTGTAATGGTAAATAGAGAAACACTACATATTAGTGGACCGAGTCTATTTGAGTTTACCATTCGTAATCCAAAAGCCTTGAGTTGCTCATCAGTCATGCATACAAGGGTGGCTTTATCAATCTGCAGCAAAAACAAGAGGCCGCAAAATAGTGATAGAAATTCTTACGGTAAGAGTTAAAACCAAAAGCCAGCACATAAAAATCTTACTAATCAAAGGAAAGCTATAAAATTCACATACTTTCTTATCTTTGAATAACACTGAATATTTATTAAGACCCAGCGACTGCAGGAAACAATCCACTGATTCAGCCTGCACCAAACATGTATCACTTGTAAGTTCAACCCTTCAAGGTGAAAACCTAACATAACTTTGGGTTATTGTTATGAGAAGTGCTAACGAATTGACTATTTCCAATTAGCAGTTTCATGGTAAAGAAACAGAGTGATCGTCAAACCACGTGATCAGCATATAATAACTATAAAAGGAAAGTCAACTCCTAAATGCATCTTCAACCACATAGAAAGCAGTAAAAAAGAATTAAATGAATTGCACCAAAAGTACCAAGGCCAGTAACCTACAAATATCTCCTCTACACAAAAATCAAAAGGAAGGTGCGGGCTCAAGTAACCATAAGAGCAAATGGGGGTGTGACTTTCTTGGTAAGTTATAAATTGCACCAAAAGTGAAAATGACAATAACTAAATCTGTTAGCTTGAGTCGCATTTCTTTCCATTCCCCAAGGGAAAGGTCAGGGAGCCGTTGGGACACTTACGTTTGTCTTAGCCAGAAGTGAAAAGGAAATAATAAAGATTTAATGTAATTATAAAACACCCTAAAAAAATAAAGGACTCGTTCTTTGAAAAGTAATATAATACAATGACAAGAAATATTTTGAAATATGGAAAACAGTATGATTTGGGCACTTGTAAAAACAGAGGGAGAGCAGACAACACGTTTTCTAACAGGTTGACTGACCTCAGGTACCGACTCCAGCTTTGGTGGATCCATTTTCACTGCCATCAGACGCATGTCCAATTCGAGATCCTCAGGCCACTCAAACTGAACCATGGGACCCCATGAAATAAAACCCTTTCCACTTTGAGTTCTTTGCTGAAAAATCCTTCACTGCTATGAAGTAAAATATAACTAAGACTATACAACTCATTGACATTCGATCAAAGTACAATGCACAAAACACTACTATATATTATTATTGTTATTTATAATAATATTCATACTTGTCCAGAATTCTGACATGCGGGAATATTTACTCTGCCTGCAAAACAAATGACATCGAGTCAAATAAAATTTATATATGTATTAGTTACTTCATATACATCCTTATGCCTGAAAGAAAAAATTCATGCTTATTAGAGTTCCAAAAGCAATACGTGTGATACATAAATGAGAACACACTAGAAAAACAGCAATTGTAAAGAAAAATGCAGTGAACCAAGAACAAATCACAAATCACGATAAAAAAAGTAAACACGCCACACAAAGAACACAAAGATTTACGTGGTTTGACACAAGTTATGCCTACTTCCACAGAGAAGATTCGGCGAAAGATTTCACTACACGAAAATCAGAAGATTAAAGGTTTCAGCCCCAAACCCTAGCTCCCGCTCTCACTCTCTTTACAGTGATTTGTAGTCTCTCTCTATCCCACTCCAAATACTAAACACCCATATATATCGGGCTACAAGAGAATAGTACAAGCGGTCCACAATAATAAAAGCGGGCTACAAGAGAATACTAAAGCAAATCAAATATGCCAATCCAACCAAATATCTCTCTCGTCATGTCTAAATTCTCAAGTTCAGACATTTTGTTAGTTTACCATAAGGCCTCTTTTCATAAAAAATAAAATAAAATAAAATAAAAAAGGTCAGAAATTCGTTAATGAAAATTTTAAGAGCTAAACTTTCATTTATGAAGCACGAACTGTTGGATTTGCAAACCAGAAAAATCATCTGGTACTGTGTGAATTTTAAGTAACTCCTTTTTTAACAATATTAGATTCTCAAGTTCGATCATTTTGTTACTTTTCCATAACACATCATTTTAACTACAGTTTCATAAAAAACAAGGTCAAAAATTCATTTATGAACATTTTAAGATCTATACTTTCATTTACAGAGTCTGAACTGTTGAATTTGCAAACCAAAAAAACGATCTAGTACTGTGTGAATATTAGGTACTCCTTTTAAAAAAAATTTGATAGGTATAAAAAATAAGTTCACATTAATGTACAGTTTTTTTTATTTTTACCCATAAGATCCCATAATCAGATTACCAACTTCTTCCTAAGTGGGCAAATTCTGAGTCGTTACAGATCACAAATTTTGAAAAAGCGCAATACCAATCATCAATTTTTTAACTCAAAATCAGTGAGGCTCTCGTTAACTTCCTCTGGTTCCTATGATATAAAATCATGCAGAAACAGCCTGTTTTTGAGATCTGTTGATTTGACAATGAAAACAGATTCAAACACTAGGAATCTGAATATATCTGAATTCTGAAATCAGTTGAAGCTTGGCCTACATTGCAACAATTTCTTATTTAAAAAGACACTTTTGTTTTCATTTATTATTTCTTGATAAGTAGAACACTTCTTTATTCTTATTTTTTCTAATCATCATAATATATATCACAGTTTAAGACACAAATGTTAACCCTACCCAAAAAACCCAAGTACCATATGTTTCAATATGAATAATATCATTTTTCAGCTGCATTCGCAGACAGTCGGCAACGTACTTGGCCCTGCAGAAAATTGGCAATCAAAGATTGAAACAATAAATGAAGATTGCATTGATACCCCTTATGGAATGGATGGAAAGAAACTTGAAATGTATGGTTTTTGGGTCTTTGGGTATGGTTTAGAAACATCTGAATTGAGGTTCTACTCATAATTCTTCTCTACTTGATATTTATTACTGCTGGCCAAAATCCCTAGTTCAATAATGGGAAACCTTGAAAGACATTCTGGATCAAGAATTGAACCTTCCCATTGAGTGTATTCAGCATTCAATAATAAGTTATTTCACTTGAGAAAATCACCCTTAGAAGGTACCAAACATAAATTAATTGGAGAATAACTCAATTAGTTCAAACATCTAAGACTGGTTTCCATAATTTGACCAATTTTCATAGTGTTGAAAAACTCAGAAGCCATGAAAATAAGGAAAGGATAAACAACAACAACAATTACAAATACTTACTGGGAGTCAAAAAAAAAGTGATGTTAAACTTGCCCGACCGAGGTTCTTTATATTCAAGGCGCAGAGACCTGACCACAACGTTGAAAGCTCCATGTCATCAGAAACTTGGACGATCAAGATGGAAACATATTGAAAGTTGGAGGGGTCAACATTGAAACCAGTGTGCATCATACAAAATATTTTCTCTCCCAAATGAACTAAGCAACAGGGGGAGAGTGACCGATCACAATCCACTGGTAGATTTAAAAAGTCCAGTTCTCTAAAATGCACTGGAACACCAATAGATTGAATGATACCATTAGAACGTCCGACATGATATGCAATCAAGTTAGAATTAAGTCCAAAAGTGTATACGTAACCATCAACATATTCAGCCTTTCCAAAGATGGGGTAATACAACCCATTCTCCTTTGCCTTTTTGACGACCCGCCATTTACTCCCGATTCTGTAATAATAAAATCCAGTTGTGCGATGTTTAACAAAATCATAAACTGAAATGAGAATACAGTCCTCAATGACTACGTAACCGGAGACAACCGTGGGTAACTTTGTGTCCAAACGATACTCGGGTAGGAAAGAAGAATCATCCCACCCTTGAAAAGGACCCAAACGTTCGAAACAAAGGAGGGTTTGTGTCGATGCACGGACACGTGGTACCGCCAGCAAGCACATAAAAACCTCTTCCACGGACAGCCATCACTAAGGCATTAGGTTTTGTTGCTTCTGGGAATGGCAATTCGAAACACTCTTTGGTCTTTGTATCGAAAAGAAGGGGTTGAAGCTGCTCAAAACTGTCTTCATTAATCTTGAGATATGAAGCCGTCAACAACATGTGCGATCCTGAGATATCACAACCAACCGGTGAATATACTCTCTCTTCTTCTGCAAATGCTCTAACCATAGGACTAACGAGTGCAATTTCAGATCCCCCTCTCCCTACTCCTATTTTGATTTCATAAATTGCAGCAATATATGGCCCACCGTCAAAGGAGGCAACCAAAAACAATGATACTTCCTCATCCTCCATCTTAAATTGCCTCCCTCCTCCCCGCAGAAAGATGGTTTGGGGATGTGAAAGTTTCAGAAGAGAATCTCGGTGCTGCGCCGCGGCCTGTAGAAGGGATTTTAGGGTTTTGGTTCCCCCTCCCTCCTCCTCCGCCGGAGATGGTATGGAGCTGTGACCGTGAGCGTTTCGGAAGAGACTCTCGGTGAATTGCGCCGCGGCCTGCAGAAGCCTTTTCGGGTTTTCTTTCTTTTGGAATTTTAAGCGGCTGATATTATAATAATGTAATAACAGGACCCAGATACAAGCAACACAGCCCAAAGAAGGGGCCCAAAACATTTGAATAAAAACCCAGGGGAAAGCCCAGTTCTATTCCTAGACTAAAAACCAAGATTAACGATTAATGTAACCCTTAATGGTGGTTATCAGTCCTACACAAGCCAGACCTATGTTTTGAAGATAGTCATTGATTTGCAGTCAAGTGTTGGGAGTTGATTGCACAGCTACCCACATGTTAAACTTCTAAATGAGTCATTGATTTGCAGCCGAGTGTTGGGAGTTGATTGCACAACTAGCCACATGTTAAACTTCTAGATGAGTCATTGATTTGCGGTCGAGTGTTGAGAATTGATTGCACAGCTAGCCACATGTTAAACTTCATTCTAGAAATTGTGTGTGAATGTCGGACCAAATTGTGCCAATGAGCTGGAGAATGATGACCCTCAAGATGAGCTCTAGCCCTAGCTTCCCCCTTCGTTCTCTCCCTCTGTTCGTTCCGGGAGCGCGGGGGGAGGGGGGTGCCGATCCTCACCACCCACCGCGTAATAAATTCGGTGTGTTGTAAATAGTCGCTCGGTGGGTAGGTTTTTACACCTTTTTGTTGTTGTTTTGTTAGATCTACTCTTAGTAGGCTTGTTTTTTACCTGACGGGTAAATCTGCTTTTTGTTTCCGACTAGATCTTCGATCTATGTCTAGTTTTGTTGTCAGACCAAATTGTGCCAATGAGCCGGAAAATGATGACCCTCAAGATGACTTCTAGTATGCTTGAGGCTATATGACCCTTTTATATAACACTTTGTTTGGATGCATATTCAAATTGGAAAAGGAATAGAATTATAACCATAAAATTGTGCTAAAATATTATGTTATTATTATTATACATTATAGTTAAATTCGGTTTGAGTGGTATCTAATTTTATGAGAAAAAATCCATGCTATTTCAGTGCGGGGGAAAGTCCTTTGGGGACTACCCTCACCAGTCACTATACACTTTAGTAAGTAGAAAGAATGATACCCAAGGATACAAGGCCAGGGTATGTTTGGTGCGCAGAAATGGAATGCAAGTGAGAATGGAATGGGAATGATGTAGGAATGTAATAATCATTCTCATTCTGCTGTTTGAATGCAAACAAATAATAGAATAATCATTTTCATTCATATGTTTAGTTAGATCAAATAAAAAGTTATAATAGAATGATTTATAAATTAGTTTTTCCAAAATATCCTTGCTTGTAATATATCAGTTATATTAAAATAGAATGACATATTCTTATTATATAATAAAACCAACTTGTACCAATTAATGTATTTTTATAAATTGCAAAAAAAAATACAATTATTTTATAATGTATAATGTGTGTGTGTGTGTATATATATATATATTTTCAAAAAATTATCTTATAAAATGCAAGATAAATGTATCACCTGCTTGCTATACTATCGAAGATGTAACAAATATTTGTTAAAAATGATTTAATATATATTAACAAGAATTACTACTACTTGAATTTACACATTTACATCACCTGCTTGTCAAGAAAATGAAAATAGTCGAACCAATATAAAAGATAATAAATTTTGCATTTAAAATAGAAGTTTGATTACAAGTATATATTTATACACATTGGCATGTGGAAAGTATATGATATACATATTAAATATATAATATGTATAGAACAAATTGCCGATAGATAGATAGATATATGTCCTAACTGACTGTCATGTGGCTGGGATGAATAGGATTCCCATTTCGGATGAGTAATCTACGAAGATGAAGGGTTGATGCTTGAACGAAGCTTAGCGGTGAGTGGTTCTTTAGGTATGTGCGTACCGAAAGAAATTATGAAAGGCGTCCATGGACCAGTCAACTATATATATATATATATATATATATATATATATATATATATATTAAAAGCGTAACTAATTTCTTAACATTTTTAGATTTTTGAAAAATACAAAATTATTTCATTAAATACTAAACATTAAATCCTTATGATTCATACAATTTTCAAATTTTCGTTATAAAAATTCCAATGACGTTTCATTAATTCACCTTATTTAACTCTCACAACTAAAAATAAATAAATAAAATGTAAAAGGAAAATAAAACACAACTTTTTTGTTTCTAATCTATACTATTCTAAAAGTGTAGCTAATTTTTTAACATTTTTAGATTTTTAAAGGTGTCAAGTACTCTGGCAGCAATGTTGGGTAAGTTGACTCTCCAACTTTAGCAGTAATATTGGATAACATTAAGCCAGTTCTTACTTTCTTGTTTGCAATTATTTTCAAGTACTATGATTTATGGAGTAAATTAGTCAATTATAATTAATTGTCAAAAAAAAAAAACGTAAGAAGAAATATTAAATACTAAAACTCTTCAAGTAAGAAGAAATATTATTTATGGAGAAATATTGGCAAGAAAGTGATTAGTGTTTGCGTTTTAAATTCATGATTGAATTTGTGATAGTTATATGGTACATATTAAATTTTTTTAGAACTAAATAAATTAATTCTCCAATTCTCTCATAAGCCTATAGGAAGTCAGGCTCCATTTAAGGTGAAACATAATCCTTCTCACATTAAATATGAATATAACAACTCAAATCTCTTGTTTTCCCTTAAGTGGATTATGTTGTGATGCAATGGACTTTCCATCTTTCGGTTTCAAGAAAAGAAAAAAATAAACAAGGTTTTGGCAGTTTCGGTGGAGTGTTTTTTGTATTAAATTAATTAATTTTTTTTTTTTTTTTTTTTTTTTTTCAACAATTTGGAGGCTGAAATGATCAAGTATGAGAGCTTTTCTAAGATAATTGATGAGAAAATTTGTGAAGAATAAATTACTGAAGAAAATTTGGGAAGAATATGCAAGTTGTGACAACTATATTTTAGACTTATGATTGCAAGCCAAGAATAATTTATATATTCATAATTGTTGTTTTGTTTTTAAGATGTGAACTTATTTGTATAAGTTCAAAAAAGAAATATTTAAAAAGAAAAAACCAAACAGTTTATGATGTGTTACAATTAATATTACTATGTCTCTATAAATATATAAAAAATGGTTTATATGATAGCACATTATATCATATTTGATTTCTACACTTAAATTCTTCAACTTATTATTTTTTATAATTTTAAAAAAATTTAAATGTAATTTTTTTTCCAAGGATTTTTTTTATTTATGCACGTGCACTTTTGTTAGTGTGTGTGTGTGTGTGTGTATATATATATATATATATATATATCATGGTATATTGTGAGGAAAGAGAGAGGGTGTACCACAGAGAAAGAATATGCCAGAAGAATGCGTATGGATTTTTTTTGTCCTTACATTTTATTATTTTAATTTAGTGGGAATGGAATGACCATTCCACAAGTCCAGAAGAGGTATGAATTTTTTCGTCCTTACATTTTATTATTTTAATTTTGTGGGAATGGAATCACCATTCCACAAGTCTAGAAGATGAATGGTCATTCTATCTAAAAGCTGGAATAAGCATTCCAAGGAATGGCCATTGCACTTTTAATGTGGCACACCAGAGGGAATCAGAAAGTGGAATGGTCATTCCATTCCAGCCCATTCCCAGGGCCAACTTGAGCCTTAGGCGAGTTACGCCACAGGCAATAAGAAGCCCCATAATTTTTTATTTCTTTATATATTATAACTTTCCTAAAACAATTATAGTATTTTCTTTAATTATTAAACTTCAACGTATAGATAAATTTGACACTTAATCTAAAAGATTTCTATTCTTTATCTTTTTTTCGAGAGCCCCAAATTTTTTTCCTTAATATATTATAACTTACTTAAATATTTTACTTTATTATATTATTAAACCTCAACA